ACTTCAAACAAAGGTCTGGAAACTTGTTTATAGCAAGGCAGGAGATATTATTAGAAACCTAAAAAACATTGAGAAAAAAAAAAAATAAACAGTTCAGTTTTGATATAAATGCAATCAACCATCTTTAACGGAGTAACAACAACGTTTTGTATCTGTTACCATGGTGTTAATGCGCTAAGCATAAATTGAGGTGATTTAAAAGTGTCATGCAACATTATGTCCAAAACAGATTTTAAAAACATGCAACAAAATGTAGATGGAGATTGTTTCAGTTGGACTGTAAGGGGTCTATCTTTCACTAGTCTGGTTTTAATATGGCAGACTGACAGGGTTACTAACTAAAGTGTGAGTTGTCAGGAATTAAAAAGTGAATTTAAAGTACATTTAAAACTTTAGGCCAGAATAGCAGATCTGCAAATATAGCTAACAATTTGCCTAATTTGGCCTAAAATTTTTAATTAATTTACAGGATTATTCACTGAAGGGGGGGAAGGGAGGTTTAGGGAATTTCAGGCCAAAGTAACTGAACTGGAAGAACATTTTCACACATTTTTTTAGTAGTAAACCTGTAACTGTTCACGTGACGTAGTCTGTATATTTATCTAGTTCAGATACCTATTGTATTCAAACAGGTTGAGAATATTGTAATGAAACAGAATTTGTGTATCCAGAGTAGGTATGTCATCGTCTTCTCCATATTCAACTGATGAGAAATTTGGTAAGGCTATGGAAACTAATCTGGTTGGATGCAGGGCTGGATTAACATAGGGGCTGATGGAGCTGCAGCTCCAGGCCCAGGCCCAGGCCCATGGAATAGGCCCATTTAAAAAAAAAAAAAAAAAATTTTTTTTTTTACACCCTACTCTTAGGTTTGCCACCTGACTGGTATTTTACTGGCACAACCGGTATTTAAAGCTGCCTGGTCGTGCCGGTATTGCAGTAATACCGGCAATACAAATGCAGGTATTTTTCTCAGAATAAATGGAGATTACACTGCAATACCAGCACCAGCCAGTAGGGGTCACTGTGTTTGGAGAGAGGCAGGGATAGGAAGTTACAGCATATCCCTGCCTCTCTCTACTACTTACTGATCCGTGGGGGAGCAGCAACACAGCACAGAGTCCAGACAGCAGCTCTACAGCTCAGGTAAGTGAGGGATGGGGTGAAAGGCTGCAGGGAGACATGGGGACACTAAGACACTAGGGGACACTGGGACCTTGGGACACAGACACTAGGGGACACTGGGAGACCTGGGGACACTGAGATACTTGGGGACACTGGAAAACATGGGGACACTGAGACACTAGGGGACACTGTGAGACATGGGGACATTGTGAGACATGGGGACGCTGTGAGACATGGGGACGCTGTGAGACATAGGGACATTGGGAGAAACTGAGACATTGGAATACGGAGACACTAGGGACACAGTGTCCCCATGTCCCCCAAACAGTGTCCCCATGTCCCCCAGCCAGTGTCCCTAGTGGCTCAGTGTCCCCATGGCTCTCAGTTTCCCCTAGTCTCCCAGTGTCTGTGTTCCCATGTCTCCCAGTGTCCCTAGTGACTCAGAGTCCCTATGTCTCCCAGTGTCCCCATGTCTCCCAGCCAGTGTCCTCAGTGTCCCCATGTCTCCCAGTGTCCACAAGTCTCCCAGTGTCTGTGTCCCCATGTCTCTCAGTGTCCCCATGTCTTCCAGTGTCCCCAAATGTCTGTGTCCCCATATCTCCCATGTCTATGTCCACAAGTGTCCCCATGTCTCCTAGTGTCCCCAAGTGTCTGTCTCCCAGCCAGTGTCCCTAGTGTCTCAGTATCCCCATGTCTCCCAGTGTCCCCTAGTCTCCCACTGTCTGTATTCCCATGTCTCTCAGTGTCCCTAGTGTCTTAGTTCCCCACATGTTTCAGTGTCCCCATGCCTCCCAGTGTCTGTGTCCCTTGTGTCTCAGTGTCCCCATTTCTCCCAGTGTCCCCAAATGTCTCAGTGTCCACATGTCTCCCAGTGTCTCCATGTCTCCCAGTGTCCCCATGTCTGTATTCGCATGTGCCCCCATGTCTCCCAGTGCCCCATGTCTCACTGTGACATGGGGACACTGGGAGAAATGGGGACACTGAGACACTGGGAGACTAAGGGACTTGACGACATGTGGACACTGACACTGTGATACATAGGGACACTGAGACACTGGGAGACTTGCGAGACTGGGAGACAGGGAGACACTGGGAGCAATTCCAGCAGAATCAAACTGCTTTACAGAATTTTCTCTTATGTCACTCCTTGTGATTTACATCATGTGATATCACGCATAACTAAATATACAAATGATTAAGGCTGGTATTTTGTTTCCAAGAAAGGTGGCAACCCTAACTACTCCACATACTCTTACTTAAAGGAACACTATATGGTCAGGAACACAATCATGTATTTCTGACCCTATAATTTAAAAACCACCATCTAGCCCCCCTGGCCCCTTCTTGCCTCCCTAAATATGGTAAACTCTTACTTGTATTCTGTAGTTTGCAGCTGCCGGCTCTGCCTCTGAACTGATTCTGTCTGCTGACATCATCAGAAGTGGAGGTCTGAGCATATTGCATTGCTTCCTCCCTAGGATTGGCTGAGACTGTCAACTAGGCAGATTAGGGGCAGAACCAGCACAAGTCAAACATAGCCCTGGCCAATCTGCATCTCCTCATAAAGATAAATTAGATCAATGCATCTCTAAGAGAGAGTTCAGTGTCTGCATGCAGAGGGTGGAGACACTGAATGGCAGTACTGCACACTAGGCAGTACTGCCCCAGGAAGCAGCTCCAGCAGCCATCTACAGAGTGGCCAGTGGAGTTATTTTCTCTGAAAAGACAGTGTTTACTGCAAAAAGCCTAAAGGGAATAATTCTACTTACCAGAACAAATACAATAAGCTGTAGTTGTTCTGGTGACTATAGTGTCCCTTTTTAGTGAGTGCTACGGGACAGTCCTTAGAAAGCGTAGAGTAGGCGCATCATTTGATGCATTTTTGTCAAGCTCTGGGTGCTGCCTGCACAGTATGCCCTTAGTTGGACAGCATTCATGCCAGGCTGGCCTTCCAATTTCCTTCCAACACCATCTCCATCAGATACATGACACTTGGGAGGTATGGTTGTTTAAGTGTTTTTGGTCGATAAGATTCTGTAATTAGGCCCCATCATAATTGTCAGCTCCAGGCCCACTGGGCTCTTAATCTGGCCCTGGTTGCATGGTAAATTACAGTCATGGCAATAAATTTATATTTAAATTTTTCTATCATACTTTTTCATATCAAATTAAGTAAATGTTTTTGATTTGTGCTACATTTGATCTTACAATATTTCCAAAACTTTCTAAATATTTTATCATTAAAAAAAGAATAACATTTTACATACATATTGTCTTCAATACATTTTAGGTTAAGTATAAAAAAGGTATTTAAAAATGGTCCAATATGCTCCTCAGGAACATTTGAAAGGATTATTATTGCCATTGCTCAGCATATAGCATCCTATATGGGTCTCTGCACGCCTGTGTAGGAGCTTGCATTAATTCCTGCAGTGCATTTAGTGTGGTTTTTAACCCCTTAAGGACACATGACGGATATAGTCCGTCATGATTCCCTTTTATTTCAGAAATTGTGTCCTTGAGGGGTTAAAGATCCCTTGCTGACAGAGTAGAGCAATGGAGTTTGACCTACAAAGTTTCTGTAGAGAGTGAAAGGAGGAAGGGGTTGCCATTTAAAGTTTATTTGCAAAGATGTAGAGGAAACAACTAGAGCCAAGGCAGAACATTTCATTTTCTTTAGTGTGTAAACCTGCTTTGAAGCATAGGGGGAGATTATTTGGTCTTTAAGGATTGAGTGTGCTTTTGTACAGCACACATTAGCACAGGTACACATGCTATTAAGAGGGAATTGGTATACAATTTTTTTGTACATTCTGCTTAGTATATGTAATGCACTAAATAAGCTTTGTATGAATATATATTAAACTCAAATTAGATTTATTCAGCTTTTCCTGAACAAGTCATTACATTTTCTATTAATTTAAAATTAAGAAAGCATAACAAAAAGGCATTACCAACGGTACAGCTGAAACTATTCCAAACTCTCAATGGAAGATGTATTCTAATAACCACAGTGACATCGAGTAGAGCAACTGAGTACATCTAACACTGTAGCCATTCAAGTCAAGTTGAAATGTGTAATGGGTGCTTGAACATCAAATCACTTATTTTTTTATTTTAATGAAGACACACAATCTATTTTAGTACTTCATACATATGCTCCTCTGACTTTTCTGGAATTATGCTGTTCCATATAAACATAAACTAGATCGTTATGAAATATTAAATTTGCTATTGTGGAGAAATGTTAAATAGCCAATTAAATTGCATTAAAACAACCAATTAAAGTGCACAAAACAATAATAAACATAACAGAAAAATATGTACTTCCCACTGTTGACACTGTGACAGTGCTTTCTAGTAAGAAAGGTAGTGCAGAGTTTATTATGGCATGCAGATATTCTATCTTCAGATATCTCAGGCTATCAATCCATCCCACCAACTAGAATGGGTTTCTTGTGGTCAAGAGATTCTTCTCACCAGCAAGAAAAGTGCAGTAAAATCTTCTTGATTCATTGTCTATACCAGGGATAGGCAACCTTTGGCACTCTAGATGTTGTGGACTACACCCCCCATAATGCTCTTACATACATAAAGCTGGCAAAACATCATGTGTGGTGTAGTCCAAAACACCTGGAGTACCGAAGGTTGACTATGCCTGGTGTATACCATCCTTCTAGAACAGAAAGGTAACCACAATTTGAAACATTTCAATATGGCAACATGACTGATATTTTAGAATTTTTGGTAATACTCTAAAGCAAATGTGCCATCATTCTTAAACATTTCATACTTTAAAAAGTGCTTGCAAAACTGAGTTTTATTTATGCTTAATGTTAATCATTATGGTGCATTTATATGTTCCAGCCCTTAAAGTTCTTAATTCTCCATAATAATTATACAAAAGGATAAAATAAATGTTTTAATGTTTTGGTTTAATTGTAGCAGCCTTTTTAGGACCTTTCTAGGACCAACAACATTTCAGGACTATCATCACAGTGAACTACCTAACTTTAGTCTTGAAAGTATTACTAGAACCACCGTAATCTTAGTGCACTTCAGCTTGCTGATGTTGAAGTGCCTTAGGCATTAACTGTGTGTTCCCTTTTCACTCTTTATAAAACTGAAAATTTTGAGATAAATCAGTACTTTTATAAAGAAGCTCAGTTGTACTCTACCAGCTGTCAATGATTCCACGAGAATGATGAATGATTCCATGAGAATCACTGTAAGAGCAGTGTGGTAATTGTCATGCATGAGATCTGTCTCCTAGTGCTTCTCGATGAAAATCTTTGAATTGGTCAGGATATGATCACTACTGGTGATATCCCAGCAGCTGTGGCAAGGGACCCTGTCACCACTGGATTAGATGTAAATTAACCATTATTTTCTTTACAGGAAAGGTGGACAATAGGGAAGCTAGGAGATTCGCCAACACTACAGCATTATAAATAAAGGTTTTTAAGGCTAGAGTGCTTCCTCAAACAAACATTGCTGAAATAGTTTCCAGTGACTGCTTATTGATTTATTAGTACCGTATGTTATATTTTAAAGGTTGTGAAATATAAAAAAATGTACCACCTCCGTTTAAACTAGGCATGGTTCCAGAAGTTAAAGGGCTATGGTAAGGGTTTCCAGGAGTTAGTTGGCTCTCTAAGCACTATAAACTCTACAGCTCATCATACTTTGGGGAGTCATTTTCCCATTCTCTGTCAAATCATTTTCAAGTAGTTTTAGAAACAATGTGCTCTCCTTGAACCCTTATTCTTCCCTATGCCCAAGATTCAGTTCCAAATTGTCTGATTAAAGGCTGCAGTGTTTACAGGTTTTAGAATACAATTTGAACCCTTCCAGCACCAAGTTTGAAAAAAACAGTTTTTGTAACAGCTGCTCTGTGCAGATAAAATATGTTTCTCACAGGCAAGCTATGGGTTTAATGAGAAGCACTGCTGACTCAGCATGGCGATTGCCACAGATGTGACCTGCCTCCCAAAACCTCTCTATGAGAGGCATTCTACTGGTCAGGATATCATAAATAGCTATGATCTCCTGGCTGGCAGAGTGGAGCTGCAGTGTGGGACAGTCTCACTAATGGATTAGATGTAAAGTAACCATTTATTTAACAGTTTTTCAAGGAGGAGGGAATGGGGGGAAGGGGGGGGAGGGCAGGCAGGAGATTGACTAACATACCAGCATTAAAATATATATATATATATATATATATATATATATATATAATATATATATTATTTAAAGAGTGAGAATCTGTTCGTTATTCATTGGTTATGTTTCTTGTTTATTCCTTTAATGAAACATTGTGTATTGCTATTTTTAAGTTGTTAAAATGAAAACTGTACTTTATGTGTATTTATCACAGTATATTTACTACATAGCATAAAAAAGAACTGACTGATGCATTAAGTATCATAAAAGCCTATATTTGGTTACATTTCTGCCAAGCTATAGGAACAATGCAGCTGTTTATGCCCAGGCACACTTGGTTTGTGATGAGGGGGAGGGGAGTGTGTCTGAGGAGAAAAATATTAACTGTTTGCATAATGTGCAACTTGGTCTGGGCCTTAATCTTGTGGCTTTTACTTTGAAAAACACAAAGCACATGGCTAGACTGCTGAAATTACAGACACTACCTAAAGTTGGCTTACATTTCTCAACTTCTCTTTGCAAATCTGTCTGTCTATCTGCAGTAATAAAGGTTCAAGTGTACCTTAAGTTAGCTGTTACAGTTCACGACACCTTCAGGGAAGTCCTTATAACACAAAGCCACCCTAACTACACAACCGGTTCCTAAAACTGTATCACAAGGTACACTTCTGTAGTCTAGGCCATTATAGCACAAGGTAGGTACAGTAATAATGAAGTACGTCATTATAAATTATATTTCCAGGCCCGGTTCCGGGGTCTGTCCGGCCTTCCCAATTTTGTTGCTACTCTCAGGGAGCACGGCATGGGCTCACAATTAGGCATGCTTGCGCTGTGAGCAGGCACTAGGACCATGCAGAGAGTGCATTCAGCCTCGCTGTCTGCATGGTCCTGTAGTTTGGGGGCCGGCGAGACAGGCAGCTAGCCTTGTGTGCTTGACGCTTCCATCCTTTATAGTGATATTTTAAAAGTAATTCCAAGAGAAGCATGGATGTTATTATTGGTCCAGCTAACATTTTTGTGCTACTCATTATCTGAATTAGACTGTATTTGTTTTTACATAAGTTGTATTCCATGTCAAAAGTTTATTCGGATATCCGCTGCTTCTACGTGAGCACAGAAGGCACTTAAACCACTTGGTCTTGTCTTTTATGCTCTACCTGAGAATTATTTCTTGCATATAATTTAGCATATTATTTTAACTGTGGAATATAAAAAGATTTAACAGCTTCCTAAATAAATATATTGTGTTAAACATCTTGAAATTTGAGTGTGTACAGAAAACAAGTGCAATATGTTAAATGTATTTTAAATAAACAGTAGCTGCATTCAATGCACAGTATTGGAAATGTCATCCATACGTTTCTCAATCTCAATGATGTGTATGTAATTGGTACCACACTTTCACAAAAAGGTCACAAATGCAACAAGTGATGCTCAAGTTATACAATAGACCTTTGTTTTAAAGTTACCATTTGTCATGCGTTAGACAGTGCCTTAAAATAGTGTGTGGGTTTGGGAATGGAAAGGAGATTTTTTTTTTACTGCAGCCTCTTTGTTAGCAGAGTGTAGAACACATTGTGTGCAGTTGCAGTTTTAATTCTTCTAATCTTAATTTTTAGTGGAATGTAAAATCTATCTTTCCACAGCACAACCATTTTCAGGCAAGATCAAGCATTCACTGTAATTATATCAACAATACATTTCCACGTTTGAAACATTTCTGGTTTAGCTGAATTTACCGAAAAGAAGTTCTCAAATAAACTCCAAATCATTATATGTTTATAATTTTCTACGCTGCGTGCTTGGAGACATTGTGTTTTTGTTGTGAAGAAGTGCAATTTAATTGAGACTATTTGCCCACTGGTAAAAAACAAAACGTAAAATATAACAAAACAATAAAAATGGTTCCTTCTTAATTTTCTTTGACTCGTATTATCGAGTGACAACATAATTTGAGCAGTCACATTTTTTTTTGGAGTTCATGACCATCTAGGTCACATCCCAGACATTTCTTAATAAAATGCAACCACAGATCGAAAAAGGCTTGTTTTGTTAAATTATATTAATGTTGTTTGTTACCTTTTCTCAGTTTTTTTAAATCATTTTATATTTGCATCACTAATGTCATCCAGCTTTTCCTGCAGAGCTAAATGCTGATATGCAGTATGAAATCCTTATGATTGTTCAATTGGAAAAAGAAAAGAAAATCTGTGTGATGTTTACAATAATAGTCTCAAACATTTTTCCAAACAATGTCAATTTTTACAAGTCTCTGATGACAAAAAAAAACTACAAAGCGTGTAGTTTAGAAAGACCATTGTTCTTATATGAATTGCAAACATTAATCCGAATGATACAAAACAGATGGCAAGCACTAGGCTTTTTTAGAACTGTTTATAGGAAGGCAATGTGGTATTATTGGTTTCCAACAATCTTTTGTCAGACTCCAGTCTCCTTTTTGTTCCTGGTTTTATATTACAAAAAGTATGAAGGGTATCATTAACCCTTAAGAAACCAGGTGCCTCAGACATATGACCTCCATTTTTCACCAGATATTCTTTGACTGCAGGAATTAAGCTTTGGCATGTGTTACATATGTGTTACATGCAGTGCTGTTTAACCATGAATGGAGTTTAACTATAAAAATAAAAATTGATGTGATTACCAGTAGTGACAATGGGAGGAAATTTGGATATACTCTCTCTCTCTCTCTCTCAAATGGCTGATTCTAAGGTGGACAGTCCAGCATTTAATGAACAATTCTATATAGAATAAACAAACAAAATTACACCCCCTGCAGAACTTGTACTGATATCATCTCAAATATTTGTGTTTGGCATCATATACTTCACAGTACACAATATTAAAGCATATGGTGATGATCTGCACCTTGAGTAAGCTCATACTTACAAACAAAGTCTTCATGGAAAATCCCAATAAGTGCACACATTTATTGCATGTTCAACACAAGACATAAATCAATAGACCCATTCTTTCCTTCATCTCAAACATCTGGGACACTGAATAATGGGCATTAAAACAAGTAACATGACAATATATGCTAGTACATGCTCTACGGCAAATAACCCTTAAAACTTGCATAACCAATGTTCTATCTGTTAATATGGTTTGCAAGGACGTCATGTGAAAAAACGAAGTATTTCTTACTGCAGCCTCATATCGGAGTAAACAGGTAGGTCAATAACCTGGACAATTTTCTAAGTGTTCAAATAAACGGTGATGTTGAGATAAATTGGGCGGTTCTACACACTTTTGATCTGAATCAAGAAACAATCCAAGTCATGCTGGAAAGTTAATGATTAAATAAATTAGGTCCAGGCACTCAGGATTGCTGCAGGAAGGCAGTTTTATTGGAACAAAAAGTGCAATGTTTCAGCCAACACAGAGGCCTTTATCAAAATATCACCTCAGTGTACCACAGTACCCTATCACCTCAGTGTACCACAGTACCCTATTTAAAGGATGTCAACCATATTCCAGTGTAAAAACAGTGCATTTATAATTATTACATTCCTAATACATAAAAAAGTTCATCCATGAGAAAGAAACAAGAAAATTAAAAGTAAAAGAAAAATAATCAATATAGCTAAATAAGGATAAGTGCAGCAATAGCCCCATAGTTACATACACCTGTATGTATGTGGTATATGTAACTATGGGGCTATTGCTGGACTCAGTGCCTGGACCTAATTTATTTTATCTACTATACTGGGTTTCGCCAACCCTGGCCCTGATCACCTGGATTCCCAAGTGTGAGTGTGGTATCCTCCGTTTGTGAATTACAGAAAGTTAATGATTGGCATCAGGTAAGAAGGGCCAAGGATTAATGCCACTCCATGCCACCCAAGGAGACAGTTACCCAAAGAACCAGCAATCATCTGCAATAGGGGGACTTCTCAGGTATTGCTACCGTGCTACATTGCTTTTAATAATACTAACAATGTAAAGATATATGTTAA